TCAGTGGCTTTGAAAAATCGGTGATTTTTAACAAAACTGATATTTAATCTCCCATTACTGCTTTGAAAACTTTATCAATGGGAGCCCTAGTAATATCACTCGTGTTTGTGCAAGCGTTACTGGTATTTCTAATATCTCTGATGTCATTCTTTTAGCACCACCAATCAAAAGCGCTTGTAAAAAATGACAAATAGTTATCTTGATGCTCTGCACTTCAAATGGGGAAGCAAACTCCAGCCATGTCAGCGAGTTGCTTTCCGAGTGCTTCTACCTCTCACAGAGATCGAAAAATATGAGCTTGGATTAAGAACAGAATCAACTAGGGAAAAACAAGTCTTGTGCGCAAATGGAAGCGTACAAGTGCCGGAAGTTTTACGCTACTAATAAGTTTCTCGATGACATCACACACGAGAAGAAAAAAGATGTCTGTCATTCTTGTAAAGAAAAGAAGGGATGTGAGGAAGAAAATTTATACTAACAACGAGAGATCCGTTAGTGAGCTTTGTCATCATATCTATGACTTCCTGCGTAAAACACATCGTAAAATTTGTCCAGCCGTGAGGACGTGTGAAATCATCAGGTGTCCGGCCCATCCAGCGACCCGAACTGTGGCACCATTTTGTGATGTTTTCTGAAATTGTAGTTGCAATGAAAAATTTAAATTTGACGAGGCTATACCGAGCAGGAGTAAAAACAAAGAAAAGAGAGGGAGAGAGAGATGGGAAGAGAAGAATACCAAACTGGCAAGGTTATCGATAGCGCCCTCTTTCAAAGATTGCTTAAAAGCAAGTTGATAGTGGGTTCGACTTCTTGGCACATGCCACTACCTAATTATTATCGAATTGAGTGAACGAAATGTAGGGGCGCCTCTTATAAAAAATTATGCACTTATGCTTTTTGCAACATCCATTCAATATGCAATTATTAAAAACAAACTCTCAGGATCGAGTCCTTTGAGTGGTGGACAGGGTACCGTGATACTCGTATTAGCAGGAGTTGCTGCCCAGCATAGTACCGTATCGAATGTTGCATTGCACCATACCGATCCATCGCCTGCAATAGAAATTACTGTTATTTAACTGGAACACCAAAAAACCTGAGGGAACTATCCCGGAGTTTAAAATCAGAAACCGTCTTACTAATAACCCAGATGAGAATATGCATTGCTGATGAGAATATGCATTTTCACTGGTTGAACTTGAAGCAATCAGACCGTCAAGTACATAAAAGACTGTTGCTTTAAATTTAACTTCGTAACCACTAGCATAAATCGTCATAAATTTTGCATTAAAAACCCAGGCTGAAACACAGTAGGCTTGCCGGTGTGACCATGCGTTTTTGCACTAAACTTGCAAGTCTCTAATAGCAGGAATGATCCCTTTGCTGTAATCTAACGCTTGGGGTCATATTGGCCGTGCTTTGGCCCCTTCGACAAGTAGAAGGAAGGGAGTCGGTTGGGATGAAGGTGGTGCATTACAAAGCGGCGCAGATCTCCAGGTATATAATTATCAGTTTTTTGCATGGAAGCCCACCAGACTTCCATGCAAACCTAGGCTGGAACGCACCAGGCGAGCCGGAGCGATCATGCGTTTTTGCACAAAACTT